GAAGCTAAATATTCTATTCTTAGACTTTCAGTAGTTGATCTAAAAATTTATTTTGTAGATTTAACTCATTAAAGTCTAAAGTAAATCGTTATTCTTTTGCCTTTTTCCAAACACTGTAAGGACCTTAAAACACTACAATTCCAATCACCCATCTTCTGACTTATGTATTACTGGGTTGTGTGGTATGGTATGGTATGGTATGGTATGGTATGGTATTTATTTAATGTTTTTATTTAATTTTGAGAAAGAGACCAAGTGTAAGCAGGGGAGGGGCAGAGAGAGAGGGAGACACAGAATCTGAAGCAGGCTCCAGGCTCTGAACTGTCAGCACAGAGCCTGATACAGGGGTCAAACCCACAAACCTCGAGATCATGAGCCAAAGTCTGACGCTCAACCAACTGAGCCACCCAGGCGCCCCTGGGTTGTGTGTTTTAAGTTCTTGCCAGTTAATTTTTTTTCTGTAAAGCTTTTCTTATGCACAGAAGGGGGAGGGGGCTCGGGCCACTTGGCAGCTGCTTTCCTCATGGTGGCCAGGATGCCGCTCAGTTCTCTTATTTCTTCTTGGTGCAAATATGTGTCTCCAATGTTTTCTTTTCTTTTAATTTTTAAAATGTTTATTTATTTTTGAGAGAGAGACAGACAGACAGACAGAGACAGAGTGCAAGCCGGAGAGGGGCAGAGAGAGAGGGAGACACAGAATCCAAAGCAGGCTCCAGGCTCTAAGCTGTCAGCACAGAGCCCAAAGTGGGGCTCGAACCCACGGACTGTGAGATCATGACCTGAACCGAAGTCAGACATGTAACCAACTGACCCACCCAGGTGCCACCCAGGTCTCCACTGTTTTCTTGATGAACTTGAGGGCCTACTTGCCCTTGGAGACCTTGAGCAGTTCCATGGTGTGCAGTTCATGTACCATTTAGAGCACAATTGCACACCTCTTGGAGTATGTTCCACAGAAACGTGGTGTGCTTGATGAGGAACCTAAGGCTACAGCTATGTCTTGGCCTGCTCATGTTCTTGGTTACCTTGGCCCCTTGTTGAGATCCATGGCTGTGACACAGTACAGAACCATGTCTGGACCTATACTGCATCCCTGGGGGCTAGGTGACAGCAGGTAGCCTCTTGTTAGTTTTTCAATGCTATAGGACATTATCATAGTTTTATATAGTCAGTAGTAGGCCAGTAAAATAGGTTGTTTATGTTTGATTCATTATTTTACCACTTTTATCTCTCTTCACTCCTCCATCTCATTCCTTCCATCTGAGATTTCTTCTGCTTGAAATATATGCTTTGAAATTTGCTTAGGTGTTGATCTTTGGTAGCAAATGCATTTAGTTTTTATTTGTGTGCCATTCCTTCTGTTCACCTTTGTTCTTTTTTTTAATGTATTTTTTTAGTTTTTTAGTGTTTCTCCATTTTCGAGAGAGAGACAGAGAATGAGCGGGGAGGGGCAGAGAGAGACACAGAATCTGAAGCAGGTTCCAGGCTCTGAGCCATCAGCACGGAACCGGACGCGGGGCTCGAACCCACGGACCGCGAGATCGTGACCCGAGCTGAAGTCGGACGCTTAACCGACTGAGCCACCCAGGCGCCCCTAAATTGGAAATATCTTAAGGCAAACATGCATTTAATACATCTAACCTATGGAACATCATAGCTTAGCCTAGCCTACCTTAAATGTACTCGGAACACTTACATTAGCCTGCAATTGGGCAAAACACAAGGTCTATGTTTTATAATAAAGTGTTGAATAGCTCATGTAATTTACTGAAAACTGTACTGAAAGTGTGAAACAGAATGGTTTTCTGGGTGCAGAATGCCTGTAAGTGTATCGATTGTTTACCTGCATGATTGCCCTGTACAGCATCATGGGAAAGTATCTGACAGCATATTGCTAGCCAGAGAAAAGACCAAAATTCAAAATTCGAAGTATGGTTTTTATTGTACATGTATCACTTTTGCACCATCATAAAGTCGAAAAGTTGTAAGTCAAACCATAGCAAGTTGGGGACCGTCTGTTTATCTAGCTTAGTCTAACAGTGAAGATATAGTCCGTATGGCCTCACCTGTAGGAGAGGGCATCCAATCTGAATCTCCACTTCAGGCAGACCTGAGGCTCTGTCTTCTGACCCTGGAGCTCCTTAAGGTGTTGAAAACTGAGAGTTAACTGGTTTGGCAATTGCTCCCATGATCCCTCTGGGCTCCTATCATCCCGTGGTTTGGGCTGAATATGTCTTATTTGTATTCATGTATTAGAACAAGATACTTTTAGTATTTTATCTAGAACTTAAAAATTTTTTTTTAGTGTTTATTTATTTTTGAGAGAGAGTGTGCAAGTGGGGGAGGGGCAGAGAGAGACGGAGACACAGAATCTGAAGCAGGCTCCAGGCTCCGAGCTGTCGGCACAGAGCCTGATCGAGGCTCGAACTCAGGGACCGGGAGATCATGACTTGAGCGGAAGTCGGCCGCTTAACCGACTAAGCCACCCAGGCACCCCTAGAACTTTAAATTGTTTACAGCAGGACAGTCAGGGTGCCTGGGTTCATTATGTCATGTGAAATTGAAGACTGCATCACTTATTTTTCATTAATATTCTTTTTTTTAATGTTTTATTTATTTTTAAGACAGGGAGAGACAGAGCATGAATGGGGGAGGGGCAGAGAGAGGGAGACACAGAATCTGAAACAGGCTCCAGGCTCTGAACTGTCAGCACAGAGCCTGACGCGGGACTCAAAGTCAGGGACCGTGAGATCATGACCTGAGCCGAAGTCGGCCGCTTAACCGACTGAGCCTCCCAGGCGCCCCTCATTAATATTCTTAAAGTTCCTCTAGAAAATCCTCAGGCTTTTATGTGTCAAACCTTTTCCCTTCTCTTTATCCCATTCTTCTCTCTCAGTAGCTTGTCTTTTAAGTATGACACATACTGACCAAATTTTTAGCATGTGAACCTGATAGCTTGGGCCAATGAAGAATTATGTAATGTTAGGCAGAGAAAAAGATTTCAAGGGCAGCTGAAGTCTGCAATGTTCATGCAGTTTTGGATTTTTTTTGTTTGTTTGTTTGCCTCTTGTTTTCTTTTATGGTTTAAACTTCAATTTTGAAATACTCCTAAATAGCCCTATTGTTTATTTTCCTTGTTAACATTTCTGGTAAACAGAACAGTTTGATGTTTATCAAAGGAATATTTTTAAGGACAGCATGATCACATTGGATGGTCTCCATTTTTAGCGTGTCTGGTTTTGAAGCACGTCATTGAAACATTTTGAACATCTGATTCTCCTCATTTCATTAAATAACATGCGTTATTTTCTATGAATGCACTGATTATTGCGGCCAGAGTCAAGAAAACACAGCAAAGACGAGACGAGATGCACTTAACCCTCTCTCCTTCCTGTTCTCAGCTGGGAAGCTCTTTTCTCTTTCTCACTTTCCTTCTATTTTCTAAAACCTTCTCTGACCAGCCTGGGGGAAGTCCTCTCCTCCTGAAAGGGAATGAGGAAGGTACTCTTGTTCTCGGTAGCGTCTCCCCAGGTGACCCACTACATCTCAGTGTCTTCTGGAACATCCTTTTCTCCTTTTTTTTCTTTCCTACCTCTCTGGCCTCTCCTCCTGACCTCCTTCTCAAGAGCCCCTTCTCATCCACCTACTCCTTAAATGCCAATGCTCCGTAAGGCTGTGCGAGAGACACTTTTCTCTTCCCCCGCCAAATACTCACCCCCATCTGAGGCTCCATCCACTGCCTTATGTTGTGACTCACAAAGATATATCTTCAGGTCAGTTTCCCCAGGAGCCCCAGATCCCATATCTAACTACCCACTGAGCACCTCCAACTGGATGTCCATGGGCTTCTCAACCCAATATGTTCTGAACTCATTTTTCTACCTAATGCCCCACCTCTACCAATAGCTGCTCCTCTTCCTGCTTCCAGCCAGAAGCTGGGAGTCGTCCTAGACCCTTCCATTTCCTTATTTCCTCCTCTTCTTTTTCCTCTAAGGCTGGCCAGTTTTTTCCTACATATAAATATTTGTTCTCTATTCCATTACAAATGCCACTGTCCCATCAAGGCTGGCTTCATCCTTTCTTGCCTAGGCCACTGAATTTGCATCTTAACTGGTCTCCCCGCTTCCCATAATATCTTGCTCTCACCCATCCTCCATGCTTCCTCCAGGGGTCCTCCAGAGTGATTTTTCCAGAACGCAAATCTGATATCTTTTCCTCGCTTAAAACCCTTTGCTGGCACTCTCACCTTAAGGACCTGATTAGAGGTCCTCAGGGACGCACGCCACGCCTCCCCACCCCGGACTTGGCACATGCCTCTCCCGGACCTTGCCACACCTACCCTCTGTTCCAGCAGAGTGAATTGCTCTTAGCTTCCAAAGACTCCAGGCTCTTGCACCACTCTCCTTTGCTGGAAATGCCTTTCCCCTTGTCAGCCTGCTTGTCGCCAGCTCATTCTTGTTTATCCTTCCAGATTCAGCTCAATATCACCAATTCTGGAAAGCCTCCCTTGGATCCTAACCCTCTGCCTTCCTCGGTCCGAACACAATTATGTCTTGGAGCAGTAGTCAGTAGTGTGGAGGTCAGTCTCCGGGGTCGTGAGCTCCTTGAGCGCGGGAGCCATTTCTGTTCTCTTTGGGACCTTTGGCACCTAACACAGTGCTGGCACAGCAGGCATTTGGTCAATAAGCGTCTCATGAGGGACTTTTTGATCCTGAGTTCTTCTGTTTATTAGGTGTGTGATCTTGAGTGAATCACTTAACCTCCTTATGTTTTAGTAGAGATAATAATACGACCCTCACAAGGATCAAATGAAATAAAGCACATTAAAGTGCTCTGTAGATTGCATTTCACTGCTACTCAACGTTTTTTATTTTATTTTTCGAGAGACAGAGAGAGACAGAGCACAAGCAGGGGAGGGGCAAGAGAGAGACACGCACACACAGAATCAGAGGCAGTCTCCAGGCTCTGAGCGGTCAGCACAGAGCCCGACGCCTGTGAATGTGAGATCATGACCTGAGCCGAAGTCAGATGCTCAACCGACTGAGACACCCAGGGGCCCCATCGTTGCTTTTCAGATACAAGGACTTATTGTTATCACTATGTGCTGCTCTGATTGGTAGGCTTTTTCAAAAGACATGCTGTCTCGGTTTTCCCTTCCTTCTCTGGGATTTGCTCTGCTCCCCCAAATGGCCTCTGTCCCCTTCCTTTCCACCTCTCTGCTTCTTTCTCGTCTGCCTACAAATCTGTTATCATCTCACCCATTCCAGAAATCCCATCTTCATCCAACCCTACCTCCCACCACACCGCCCTGGTCCTTCCTTTCTTCTCCCCATGGCTGCCAGGGCCCTTCAAAGAGCGCTTTAGCTGGCCGCCTCCAGGCTTTCACTGCCCGCTCCTTCCCTACCAGACACCATCTGGATCCCTCAGCAGCGTCACAGTCACTGCGCCCTCTGTGGGCTCTTGTGACCTCCTGTTGCCAAATCCTGCGGGCTTTTTCAGACCTCGTCCCACTGGACCTCTGAAGCATCTGGTCCTGCTGATCACCTCCCCCTCGAAACCAGCCCCCTCCGCGATGCCGTGCTGCGCTTTCCTGGTTTCCCTTTTGTCTCTCCAGCTGCTGCTTATTCTCTTCCCTTGGTGCGGGCATTCCTCAAGGCTCTGCCTCCGAGGCTCGAGGCTTGGGTCTCCTCTCTCCTCTGCCCCATGACCTCACCCGCTCCCAAGATTGCCACTGGAACCTCTCTGCGGATGCCCCCCGGGTCCAGAGCTCCCGCTGCATTGCCTCTTGGCTAGCTGACTTTGGGCACGACCTGAAACTCAAAGTGTCCAAAATGAAAATCATCCTTTGACTGCCTTCCCCCACCTACATGCTTCTCCTCCTGGTTGTCTTCTTTCTCTTAATGGCCCCATCATTTTTTCCCAGTCATCCTAGGATCCTTGTTTTTGCTTTCCTCCCCCACTGGCCATGCCAGAGATGCTCTTACTGAAGTACTGTGGATCGCCCACCTGACCATTTCTAACTCCTCCGTCACTGCAGAAAGGTCTCTGGTGCCTCTCCCCAAACCATCTTCATAGCATACCACAGGTTTGCCTTTTTTTTTTCTTTCCTTCCCTCCCACCTTTCTTCCCTTTCTATTTTTCTTTCTTTCAATAAATATTTAATGAGCACCTACTATGTGCCAAGCTCTGGGGAAACAACGAATTAATGCAGTGCAGGACCGGGCTCAAACTCACGAACCACAAGATCATGACCTGAGCAGAAGTCGGATGCTCAACCAACTGAGCCACCCAGGCGCCCCATGTCCTTAGCATGTTTTAATGGGTTTTCATCAAGTGCCCAGCCTGCTTGTTCAAATGCACCTCCCTGGTTTTCCCTCTCTGTCTTCCCCCATGGCCCACCCTCTAGATGGGGTTCCCTGAACATGCTCTGTTCCGGCTTCTGTGCCTTTTTTTTTTTTTTTTTTTTTAATTTTTTATTTTTTTGGTGGGGGGGGGGTGGGTCATGTAGAGACAGAGAGGGAGAAAGAGAATCCTAAGCAGGCTCTGTGATGTTAGTACAGATGTGGGGTTCAAGTGAGATCATGACCTGAGCCGAAATCAAGTCGGACATTTAACAGACTGAGCCACCCAGGTGCCCCATGCATCTGTGCCTTCTGCTAATAGTTCCATCCCCCCGTCACCCCTGCCTGTAAAAATCCCAACCACGGGTCTATTTTCAGCCCTGATTCCGGGAGGTATAACTCTTTCCTCCGTTGGTGCTTCAGACCATTTCATCATCCCTCCAGTGTGCAGGAAACCACTGATTCGGTGAGCAAACCCACCGCTGGAGACACAGAGAGCTGCAGCATCACCCAACTGTCTGGGTTCAGCAAGCAACCCCTCGAGAGCCGTCACCAGCAGCAGCCAGGCTTCCACAGTAAGTGTAGACAGCCCAGAGCTGTTAGGGGGCACCTCGGGCTCATGGAGGAAGAACGCAGATGGGACCAGAGCCAGCTACACTCGGTGAGCACCAGCACCGCTGTCGTGGTGAGGCGACGCTGAGAGTAGACCCAGCGGGTGGTCTCTTGAGTCTGTTTTACACGGGGGTGTAGAGCATGTCACAGAGTCCTGGGGGACATTCTACGTCTCAGGTGCCACCCACGCTTTCCTGAGTTCTCCAGCTCACGCTTTACTGCTATCACCTTTCAACTCCCATGACGTGTTGTTTTTCACACCAGTCACCCAGTTGCAACCGCGACAGTTGGGATGTTCTGCCTTGGAGTTCTGCTCATTTGTGTACTTTGTCTCATCCCCCCTGCTAGACTCGTAAGCTCCCTAGGATGGGGACCACGAGGCCTGTGGCGTGAGAGACGGGGATTCGCAAAGTATTTGCGGATTTCAATACAGAGAAACTTCTTCCACTGCAGTATAAAGCAGGAGCTATATTCTATTCTTGGTGCTTCCAGGGTGACTCACACACACGTGTTCTCAAGAAATACTGCTTGATTGGGGCGCCTGGGTGGCGCAGTCGGTTAAGCCTCCGACTTCAGCCAGGTCACGATCTCGCGGTCCGTGAGTTCGAGCCCCACGTCGGGCTCTGGCCTGATGGCTCAGAGCCTGGAGCCTGTTTCCGATTCTGTGTCTCCCTCTCTCTCTGCCCCTCCCCCGTTCATGCTCTGTCTCTCTCTGTCCCAAAAATAAATAAACGTTGAAAAAAAATTAAAAAAAAAAGAAATACCGCTTGATTGATGGATCCAACCCTTGAAGGGTCCCTTCCATAGTATTTCAGTTGAAACATTATGATGAAATCCCAAACCAAACGGAAATGCGAAGCACAAAAATCAAATCTAAATGTTTACAAAAAAAAAAATCAAGCATTGGGTTCCCGCCACATAAAAATTCCTAGGTCAGCGTCTGACGTATGGATGTGTTGAATAAATGTTAATGTTATTCCATGAGCACTGGACAGCCAACTCAGTAATGTGTCCTGAGATAGCACAGCTGGAAGAAACTGGTTCGGTAACATTTTCTTTATTTTTTTATTTTTATTTTTTTTACATTTTCTTTTCTTTTTTTATTTATTTTTTTAAATGTTTATTTATTTTTGACAGAGAGAGACAGAGCATGAGCAGGGGTGGGTGGCAGGGAAAGGGGAGACCCAGAATCCGAAGCAGGCTCCAGGCTCCGAGCTGTCAGCACAGAGCCCCACGTGGGGCTTGAACCCACGAGCCGTGAGATCATGACCTGAGCTGAAGTGGGACGCTCAACCGGCTGAGCCACCCTATGTTTTTTCTTTAGAGAGATGCTACTGCAGGTAACAGGCAGGAAGGTTTGTCCATATGGCCAGGTGGGCGGGTCTTGATGGGGTTGGGATGCCAGAGGGGCATTTTGGGACTTAACAGATCAGGACTGTAGCCTCCCCACATTATGCTGAAATGCCACAGGCGGCCAGGGAATGCTTCATTCCCCCCTGGGGGTGATGTAAATCTTAACACTTTTTCTGGACATTCTGTGGTAATCTCTCACCCGGGGTCATTATTTTGAGGGAGTCAAGAGCACAGATTTAGAAGATCTTTCTCTTTTAGAGATACACACTGAATTGTTAATGGATAAAATGGCATGATGTCTAATGTTTACTTCGAAGTAACCTAAAAAAAGAGAAGGGGCAAGCATAGAATGGCAAGAAAGGCTCTGTGTTGGTGATTGTTACAACTTGGTGTTGGGTATATGGCTATTTGTGGTGCTTTTCTGTATGTTAGAAATTTCCCATAATAAGATTTAAAAAACTTTTTATAAAGACTTCTTTATTTTTTTTAAGTTGTTTATTTTTGAGAGAGAGAGAGAGAGAGAGAGAGAGAGAGAGAGAGAGTATGTGTGCATGAGCAGGGGAGGGGCAGAGGAGGGAGAGAGAGAATCCCAAGCAGGCTCCGCACTGTCAGCACAGGGCTCAACACAGGGCTCAACACAGGGCTCAAACTCACGAACCCTGAGATCATGACCTGAGCCAAAACTGAGAGACGCTTAATTGACTGAGCCACCCTGGTGCCCCTTATTTTGTTTTTTAAAGCACAGATTTTAGAGCACGGCAGAGCTGGCTTCAAATCCCTTCTCTGCTACTTTTTGTCTGGGTGATCTTGTCGTTTAATTCTTCCGAGTCCGGTTTCCACATTTCCAAAATGTTAATAAGAATAATTCCTGGCTCACACATTTGTGGCAACTATGTAGATGGAGACTTAGGGCAAAGCACATGGCTGGAATCAATAATGCTACTAGGGGTTTACGTGAGCCTAACTCTGCTAGTTACACCAACTCTTAGAAACAGTCGTGGTTAGGACCGCAAACCGTGGCTGCTGGCAGATGGTTGACCTGAGGTCTTGACCACACAGGGCCTCCCACAGCTTCTCTAGATGAATTGCAACTGGGGATCAAATTATAGGCTTCAGACCCTTTACTAAAACCCGTAAAGAGCATTTCTTTTATTATTATTTTCTTTTTATTTTGAAAGTGGCAGGGAGGGGCGCCTGGGTGGCTCAGTCGGTTAAGCGGCCGACTTCGGCTCAGGTCACGATCTCGCGGTCCGTGAGTTTGAGCCCCGCGTGGGGCTCTGTGCTGACCGCTCGGAGCCTGGAGCCTGCTTCGGATTCTGTGTCTCCCTCTCGTTCTGACCCTCCCCCATTCATGCTCTGTCTCTCTCTGTCTCAAAAATAAATAAACATTAAACAAAATTTTTAAAGGAAAGTGGCAGGGAAAGGAGGGAAGAGGCAGTGGTAAGGTTTAGTGATGCCAATTCTCATGGCTGTGAGTGTTCTGGGTTCACAGCTCTGTTGTCACTGTGAGGGGGACAGACCAGGAAAGCAGACCCCTGCAGTATGATGTCCCGGGAGCTGGGTGGGTGGGGGGGAATCCCTTTTGCAGATCCCTCCTCTTGTATTCTGTCCTCGACTTTATTTATTTAATTGGAAAGAGAGAGGGAGAGGGGCAAAGAATCTTTTTTTTTTTTTTTTTCAATGTTGGGGAGAGAGACAGAGACAGAGAGAGACAGAGCATGAGCAGGGGAGGGGCAGAGAGAGAGGGAGACACAGAATCTGAAGCAGGCTCCAGGCTCTGAGCTGTCAGCACAGAGCCCGATGCAGGGCTTGAACTCACGAACTGCAGGATCATGACCCAAGCCGAAGTCGGACGCTCAACCGACTGAGCCACCCAGGCATCCCGGGGCAAAGAATCTTAAGCAGGGTCTACACTTAGCTCAGAGTCCAACACGGCGCTCGATCCCAGGACCCTAGGATCATGACCTGAGCCAAAATCAAGAGTCAGATGCTCAACCGACTGAGCCACCCAGGCACCCCATGTCCTCAACTTCCATCCGCTAGCAAGCAGCCAACAATTCACAGGCTGCGCTGGGACTCGGGGTTCCGTCTACCTGGGCACATTGCAAGCTCTGGCTGGCAAAGCAGCCCTGTTGAGTTTTGCAGAGGAGGGTGTGCTGGAAGGAGAGTGAGATCACAAGGAATTCATTAGCATCCCAGATCCTTCCTCTTCTCTCTATGCCTCTCCCAACCCTGAGTCCCAGTCCCTACCCCCAGCAGTGTCTTTTTTCCCCTTAGAGTAGCTGAGGGAACCTGTCAAAGCCAGGCCAGAAGCTTGCCTTTTCTAAAGACACAGCATTCAGCCCTCACCAGATGGGAACCTGTCAGCACAGCGGGCAGATAATTATCCTTTCAGTGGTGGGAAGCCTTAGCATGAATGGAAATTCAGATGTTTGCTGCAGCTGTGGCCCCACAGCCAATCAGGGAGGCTGTCTGTGCACATGAAGCAAGTGAGATTTACCTAGGTCAAGTCTGTAGGACGTGCTGGGCAGTGAGGTGGCCCGAGTGGGGTGTAGGGCAAATTAGGGCGCCCTTCCCCACAAAGCAGTGATGAAACTGCCGGACCTGTATCTGAGACCTCTCCTTAAAGGCCAGTGCAAGCCAGCCTGTCCTTTCAGCCTAAGCTCAAGTTGGCTGCCTCCTCTCTGAGTATACGAAACTCAAGGACAGAACTTAGGACGGACTGATGTCTCCTCATTTAGTGGAGGAAAATCTAACAAGCAGGTGGCCAACAATAGGGCATGCTGCCAGGAAAGGTAATGACCTCCCCATTACCATAGGTATTCAAGCAGATGCTAGCCGTCTGTCTTCCAGGAATGCTGCAGAGAGATGACCTGACATGGGTGGGAGTTCAGCTCCTCTGCCCTCTGTCAAAGGTTCCAAATAGCCAAAGCAAAGCCAATGAATCACTGAAGCAGTAAATAGGAGAAATTTATTGTGCACACACCAAAAAGGCAGTTTGCAAACCGGGAGCACTCAGACCAGAACATGGAATGAGGCTCAGGAGTATATTGCTGTCAAGCAGCTTAGATAATGAGAAAGCAGTGATTGTTTATTCTTCACAGTGATTGGTTACAACATGGCAATTTTCAGTGGTTCCCTCCTAGCAAGCTGGGAAACAGTTCAAGTTTTGCTTATCGTTTGCAGAGGCACAAGCAAGAAATAATCCAGGTCAGGTTAGCCTTGCAAAATAAGCTAAATTAAGCTTTGCCTGCATGACTAAACTGGTTCTGTCTCCTCAGGGAACCTTTCAAGGCAGGTCTCTCTCTCTCTCTCCCCTTGATTTTAACACCTCCAAAGCCTTCTTACCTCTGTAGTTTCTCATGGGGATGAGAACAGGAATTAGGAGTTGTCATAGATCCAGGTTCGAGTCCTGGCTCTGCACTTGTTGAATGGATACGGGCAAGTCACTTAATGTCTTTATTTAAAGTAAATTACACAGGCATAGTTTATTTTCCTGATAAAGGATGATCATGGTTAAAAAACCAACTTAATGGTTAAAAAACCCGAGTGGCTCAGTCAGTTAAACATTCAACTCTTGATTTTGGCTCAGGTCATCATCTCATGGTTC